CAATTAAGGCACTAATTCCACAATGGGATTTATGTAGATAGATCTTATTACTGGACACAAGGCACAGTATGCATATTTCAGTGTAGCCTGTAGCACTGCAACACATACCTTTACATTATGCTAATTGTAACAAAAAACTATCTGAAAGTTAGCAGTAGTATTTAATAAAGTAAAAGTTAACAACATGTTAATTTTATGTTAAAGTAATTATCATATCACCGTGTTTTGGTGCTAACTGCACCGTTTTTGGATTTTGTAATGAGAACAAATGTAAATACTTGGGCCCTGATGCTAGAAACACACAGGTGAGTAACTCTGCACACTAGAGAAATACTCTCCTATGTAACTGTTTGCATAATCAAGGTCTTTTCTTGGTAATTTTTTGATGTCATTTTTATAGCAAAAGAAATGAAGGAAATGAGATTAATGTCTGAAAATTCTGGGAAGATGTCTAATATGTTTTAAAAGACGTCTCAGTATATTAACTTGGAATGATATGGAGTGATCATTTTATTGTATACAATGTAGATTTTGGTTGGATTAAATTTAAAATGCATTGATAAAAACGGATTAAAAAGCCAAATATTTTCAGATTATGTCAGTTAGGCTTTGAGTTTCAAGGCAAATTGATACACATGGTCCATGTTCCTTCAAAGGGGATCCAGTATTGAAAACTCTGTAGAAGTCTAGCTGGAACTTAGGAACACTAAAGTGTAAGTAAGGATCACATTCTCTACTTTATGTAGATTCAGGGGAAAAATTTGACCCTGAGGATTTTATTTGAGACAGTTTATAGATCATTATACCAGAGAAAAGTATGTGCTCTTATTCCATGCAGTGTTCTATTCTGCATTTTACCACAAGATGGAACTATTACAATTATATTCACACACCTAAACTGAAATCAAAGAAACCTGAAATAAACTTTAGTTTTGTATATCCCCTTTGACTGATAGCAAGAATCTGAAGAATTGAGAGAGAATTAGGAGCAAAGTACAAGTGATCACTCTACCACCCCTATTGCTGGTGCAATATGTTGTGTCACATAGCAAAGAAACATTACTAGGGAAAATTAACTTTGAATTATATCCCTCAGCTCTAACAACTTAGGAGCCTCATTTTTCAAGTACTTGGCACCTTTCTCAGGAAAAAATAAAAGGCAAATACATGCAAAAGTAATTACTCATTAAAGCTGTTTAAAAACAGGTGAAAAATTTAATGAAAAATTTCAAAGATGCATCTATTTGACAGGCAGAGTTTAAAGTTGACCCATTTTCTATTTTTTCCCCTGAATTTATTGCAATATTTTAATTATAATAGTATCTGAGATCATTCTAAAAAATTTTCATTGACCAAAAACCCAGTTTTTAATAACAAAATATGGATTTTGGTAAACACAAATATATATATAGATTTAACTAAAATTTTCTGAAAACATTTTGGTTAAAATATAATGGAAATTTTCTTGAAAAATGTAAAATGTCCGTAATGTCAAGGGGTTTTTTTTTGTAAAGGCTATTTTTTTTCTACAATACACTTTCCATGCAAAAAGTTTCTACCAATCCTTTTTTTAATGTGAGTAGTTGCTAATGAGCCGGGTCCCATTGTTCTTGACTACTATACTATACTATACTATACTATACTATACTATACTATACTATACTATACTATACATAAGAACCCTGCCCTGGAGAGTTTACAGTCTAAATAGGACAGCCAGATGGAGAAAAGAAATTTAATTACTCCATTTCACAGGTGAGGAGTGGAGCCACAGAGAGATTAACTGAGGTCACTTCAGGTGTCTGTGTTACAGCTAAGAATTTAACCCAGACTTTCTAAGGGCTAGATCAGTGGCTTAACCCCAAAACCATCCTTTTTCTAAAAAAAAATTCAATTTCAGATCTTAGTTACCCCCTCTTTCAGGGGAAAGAATCATTCAAGAGAGCTGACAATTCAGGGATAAGGTCTCCTATTACCATTTGCTATAGATATGTATCACAATACACACTCTATATTACTGTGCGTGTTTTGGGTTTCTTTATACTGCACGAGAGCTATGATCCAACCTAAAAATTCTTGTGTTGTGATTTCAGAGCATTAGAAAACACATAATTATTATTCAGCTCCCAAAAAAACACTTGCACTTGTAGCCCTGTAAATTTACACTAATTCTTCCCTCTGTTTTTTTGCCGACACATATATAGTGCCCTCTCCCCTTTAAGTGGCTCATTTGGTGCTGCCTGTGAGGCATGGCCATAAATTACATATTGCCTTTAGTAAATGTGTCAGAGGGGCTGCAAAGAGCATACTCTGAGAGTCCTTGGATGCCCTTGAGGATTGTTTTCCAGGGAGTTAGGCTACTGCTGTTCAACCCTGGAAGCCATTGTTACTAAAATAATCAACAAAACTGCAGACAATGGATTGAGGGCATCAGGTAACTGGTTAAAGGGAAAAATGAAGCTCTCCCCGCACCAACAAAAGAAAACTGGGCTGGGAGGTGGCCAGAAGAGATTTGGCAGCATGGGTTTCTGGACCTACAAGCCAAATCATAGTTGAATAAAGGATTTACTTCCTGTTAAAACAATACTAAAGAATTCTAGCTGCATTGTGCTAATAGAAATTCCCCAGGAGTGCAGATTAGTGCTGAAGCAAAATGAGAGAGCACTCATTAGCATGAGCTCACTACCTAGCAAGCTTTCCACTGGCTACTTGGCATAAACCCAGGGAATAAATGTATGTGGCCTTGCCAAGTTTCTGCTCAGATACTTGGCTGGGTCCTCATCACTCCAGATCTGCTGCTTTCAGATTGTATCTGCTAAATCACTCCCTGAGAGTTCAGGCCTCTTTCATCAACATGAAACAAATAAGTGTCTGTAAACATTTCCTCCCAGAAATCTATGCCAGGTATTTAATCTATATGTAGAAGCATTTCTTTTTGTTTTTCTTGTATTCTCCTGGAAAAATTAAAACAAATGGAAACAGAGTGCATGGGGATTGTGAATGGCTTATTTATCAAATATGAGTGTCCTTTAGGACCTTTATGGAGATAATACATTATAGATTTACAGGCTTTCTTTCATAATCACAGAAGGATGACTCCTATTCTGCACATCATAGATTTGAGACAAAGCCTAAATTATGCCGGTCCTTAACTGGTAAGTGGGAAATCATATGAGTGACCATGGTGGTTTTCCCTTATGGTATATTCAAGAAGAATAAATTGTGTTATATCAGTGATTTGTTGGCTTGGTTGCTGGGATTCATTAGTGCACTGGGGGCACATTTGTCATGTTAGTGTATTCTTTTCTCTGATAAATTTAAAAAACAAAAACTGGTCTGGTAGCATTTCATAGACTAACAAAACACGTAGATGGCATCATGAGCTTTCGAGGGCACAGCTCCGGTCATCTGAAGAAGTGGGCTGTGCCCACGAAAGCTCATGATACCATCTACATGTTTTGTTACTCTATAAAGTGCTACCAGACCAGGTTTTGTTTTTTAAGTTTATCCTGTACAGGCTAACTTGGCTACCCCATGGAACTTCTTTTCTCTGAGCAACTGATTGCACTTACTAAAGTGGGTGGGCAGCTATTTTATGCACACACAGTTATTAGTACACACAAATGAGGCAGTCAGTCAATTACCTACCCAGCTTGTATGTGCTGATGTGGGTTTTTCACATGTAAGTTGGGAACATGCCCACTTTTTTGGTCACAGTCTGTTGTACACATAAGCAAAGTGGGGGCTGTAAATATAGTCCTAATGTATTAGAGATCGGAAAATAAAATATGCAGACTTACCATGTGCACTATCAGCTAAAATATACAGACACCAGAAATCTAGCTTTCCACTGTTTCTGGGTTACAGGAGAGGGATTAAGGATAGAGATGAGGCAACGTTGCTTCTGATGCCCATAGCTAGGGCAGATATGAAAAAGGTGGGGCAGTAGATGTTCACTCATAGCTAAGTGTTCCAGGAGTTCCTACTGCTTTTCGTATTGTCCCCTTCATTGTGGGGTAAAAGTCTACAGGAAAAGGAGTGAGAATGTACTCTGCCCTATTTAAAAGCCTATTGTGCGGGTCTGTAGGAGACTAACTTGAAGGCCTGGCTTTGAAAAGTTGGTGCAGTCACTATATCCTGGAGGCATTTTAAATTGTAGCTTATTTTAGTTATTCAAGCAGCATTGTTCCCCAGAAAAAATGTGGATGTGGTTTAGTGATCAGACTGGAGAGGTAGGCACTAGAATTTCTCAGTTCTGTTCCCAGCTATCTCACTAAGTCAGATAGTGGCCTGAAGCAAATACATGCACAATAGATATAGGTCAGGTTCTTGGGACAAATTGTTTGGTGCCCACCGAGTGTGGCCACCAACTCTTCTTGGTGTCTGCTTGCACATTTTTGTCTAAAATACTTAATTAGCTTTAGGAAAAAAGGAATAGATATGCACATTTACACATCCAAATCATTTTAATTTAATTTACTGCTAGCTAGTAAGTCTGCTGTGAAAAGTGATATTAACAAGCATATAAGTATCACTTTTCACAGCAGACTTATTCAGCCCTGGAAAGCCTGGAGGTAAATTAAGCTCAGGATGGGGGGTCATTGGTGATGGGGGGCAGGGGACTGGAGCCTGAAGCCTGAAGCCCTGTGGCTAGAACCCAAAGCTCCATGGTGTGGAGGATAGGGCCCAGGGTCAGATCCCAAAGTCGTGCGACTAGAGCCTGTTACCCACCACTGCAGGGCTGAAGCCCAAAGCCTGAGCCCCACTGCCCCAGGGCTGTTGATGAACTCACTGGCTGCCTGTGCCTCTGCCTTTGTGCCCACATGTCTCCAGAGGGGGGTAGTCGGGCCCAACAACTTTGCTTTCCCTCCATCCAAGAAAAAGCCTCCGGAGGCCACCCGCAGCCATGATGGCCACTTTTGAGAGTGACTGAGAGAATGTATTCCATTCAGTCCATAAATTCTAAATTCCCATAGAACATGGCTTGTTTTGGGGACACCCAACATGAACTGTTTATGTGTCATACGTTTTGTACAGATGATCTGTTCCTTTAAAACATTAAAAATTACTCATTGGCATGAATGACGGGTCTTACAACACTGACTAAGTATTCAGTGGTTACTAGTGGGGACTGACAAAAGAATTACTGTATTTGATTCCTGGTTAAATAACATATTTCAAAATTCAAAGCAGCTTTAAGATTGTATTTTTCTTTCTATCAAAACAGTGCTTCTTGCCTGCTAATTGTTTTTGTAACTAAAGATAATAATTGTAACTGGATAGTTCAGTCCAACGTACAGGTAATAATTTAAACTAGCTTTAAATATTTCTTCATTACCATTGACTGAAAAATTTCTCAAAAGAGTCTCTGTTTTCCTCCTCTCACAGTAAGGGATCCAGAAAAAGTACCTGATCTGAAATGCAGCCGATCAAAGTCTATGACCTTCAGCTCACCTCTACAGCCTGGTAGCACTGAATTGCTTAAGGAAGAAGAAACAGAAAAACGGTCACTTGCAGAAATGTAAGAATATAGCCATGCTTCTGGCCTCCTACCAAGGGGTCTGACTCTGTTTCCTGGCTGTGTAGATGAAAAACTGTTTACCTTAGTTTCGAAAGGAGTCAGCAATGTGATTCGAACTAGGGTGGCTAATGTAGGCATTCGAACTTGCAAATGAAGTCTGGGATTTAAATATCCCAGACTTCATTTGCATGTTCCTGGGCACCGCCATTTTTAAATGCCCTGTAGTTCGAACTACCGGCCCGCGGCTACATGCGGCACGGACTAAGTAGTTCGAATTAAAGCTCCTAATTCGAACTACCGTTATTTCTCCTGCAAGGAGCTTTGATTCGAACTACCTAGTCCGTGCTGCGTGTAGCCACGGGCAGGTAGTTTGAACTACGGGGCATTTAAAAATGGCGGTGCCCGGAAAGATGCAAATGAAGCCCGGGATATTTAAATCCTGGGCTTCATTTGCAAGTTCGAATGCCTACATTGGTCACCCTAGTTCGAAGTACGGTGTCAGTATAGACATACCCTAAGAGAATAAGGGTATGTCTACACTACAAAGTTAATTCAAACTAATGGATGTTAGTTTGAACTAACTTTCATAGGCGCTACACTAGTGCTCCGTTAGTTCGAATTTAATTCGAACTAACGGAGCGCTTAGTTCGAACTAGGCAATCCTCATTCCACGAGGATTAAGCCTAGTTCGAACTAGCTAGTTCGAATTAAGGGGTGTGTAGCTCCTTAATTCGAACTAGTGGGAGGCTAGCCCACTTTGGCCAACACCAGGGAAACTCGTCTGCCCCTCTCCTGACCCCGGACCCCTTAAAGGGGCACGGGCTGGCTACGGTGCCCGTGCCAGGTGCAAGCCTGCCA